ACAAATATATTCAGATTTCTCCCAATTTGCTTTCCCATTTGTTCTAAACGTATTTCCATTAATAATTGTTCATCTTACCTCTCATGGGTCAGTGGGGCTTCTGGTGCCCAAGCACCTATTTAGCAACTAAGAACCATTGTGTTTGTCTTATCTTCCACTTATGTATGTGCTCCCAGTCAGTTAGAGCCTGAATATGGTTTGGTGTTTTAAAATTATTCCACCTCACCTAAAGATGCCAATTGGTCAGGATTTGTTCATTTTAGCCATGTCACCTGGTGCCTCTTTAGTCTATCAACTGGCCCAAACTCTAAAGCATCCATTAAAAAAAAAAGAAGTACTGTAAGTCTCAAGCTGTTATACAATTTATATATAAGAGAAAATGTGGAGTTACAGTTTTAGCCAGTTGAAAAACAACAACAACAAAGCTTTGTGTGTGATTAGCCGAAGAGTAAAACCATCCAGGATGCTTATGGAGGAGCTTATAGAAATGTAAATGTTACAATTGTGACAATTCTTGGTCCTTGCAGAGCTGCCTGTGAACAGTTTATAAAAAGCAGGTAAATTGAAACCAATGCTAACTGGGTTTTGTGGGACTGTAGTGTAAAAAGGAGCTTTCCCAAGCTCTAATATTGCACATTTTTGTTTCGTGTTATATAGCTTGACTTCAGCAAAGTCTTTGACAAAGTGCCCCATGATATTCTGATTACCAAGCTAACTCGGTGTTGGCTAGATAGAACAACTGTCAGCTAGATACACCGTTGTTTACAGACTGCTTATCAATGGCTTCTTCTCAAACAGAGAGAAAGTAACAAGTGGAGTACTTCAAGTCTCAGTCCTGGGCCCTGTGCTCTTCAATATTTTTATTGATACGTTCGATGAGGGAATGCAGGGAATACTTATGAAATTTCTCCATGACACAAAATTGGGAGAAATTGCTAAAACCTTGGAAAATAGGGAAAAAAAATAAAAAGATATGCTTGAGCACTGGACTGAAAACAACAAAATGAAATTTAACAGGGACAAGTGCAAAGTTATACACTTAAGGGAAAAAAAAACAAATGTACAGATACGTTCGATGAGGGAATGCAGGGAATACTTATGAAATTTCTCCATGACACAAAATTGGGAGAAATTGCTAAAACCTTGGAAAATAGGGAAAAAAAATAAAAAGATATGCTTGAGCACTGGACTGAAAACAACAAAATGAAATTTAACAGGGACAAGTGCAAAGTTATACACTTAAGGGGAAAAAAACCAAATGTACAGATACAAGATGGGGGATACAAGATGGCTCAGTAATGCTACGGGTTAGAAGGATCTTGGAATTGTCGTAGATAAAGCTGAATATGAGCCAACAGTGCAATGTGACTGCCAAAAAAAGAGAAGCAAATGCTATTCTAGGATGCATTAACAGAAGTACAATCTCCAAATCATGTGAAATACTAGGTCCTCTCTGTTCAGCACTAGTGAGGCCTCATCTAGAGTACTCTGTCCAGTTCTGGACACCACATGTTAAGAATTATGCCAGCAAACAAGCAAGTTCAGAGGAGGGTGACAAGGATGATCAGGGGACTGGAAACCAAGTCCTGTGAGGAAAGACTGAAAGAACTGGGCATTTTAGCCTTGAGAAAAGAAGACTGAGGGGAGATATAATAGCAAAATCTGTTCTTGATAATCCCAGAGTGCAGGACACGTAGTAATGGGCTCAAGCTATAGAAAGCCAGACTGAGGATGAATATCAGGGAAAATGTCTTAACTGTTAGAGCCAATGGAACCAATTACTTTGGGAGGTGGTGAGCGCTCCAGTGCTAGTCATTCAAGAACAAATTGGATAACCATCTGTCAGATCTGCTTTGATTTGGATTCCTGCATTAAGCAAAAGGTTGAACTCAATGGCCTTATAGGTCCCTTCCAACTCAATTATTCTGTGATTTCCTGCTTTGTCATGGGGGTGACTCTGAAGGTTCTACAGTTCTACCATTCTACGATTCCATGGCTTTCCAGATATATCCGTTCCATTTTCTCTCCCACAGGTTTCTGGGTGATTAGATAGGAATTTAGGTAGGTGTTGTCTTGGAGAAAAGAAGAACTGACAAAAATAAGGGAGGAATATAGGTTAGCAGAAGCTTCAATTTGTTTTTGTTCAGATTGAGCCCTTGGTTGTTGTGAATGTTAAATTTCTCGCCAAACAATAAGAAAATGATAATGTCATTTTCAAACAACTAATTCTTCATGTATTTGTCTTGGGAATATGCCTTACTGCTTACCCATCTATATATCACACTAAATTCAGTGGCTTTTATACCTCAGCAAATGCGCATACGAAACTGCTATATTTGTATTTACTAGGAAGTAGAGGGAAGAGTCAGATACAACTAAATGACTAAACAACAACAAGAGGTGGGGAGGGTTTTTTTTAGTGGGACTCCCAGAAACCTCATCTAGTATAGTCAGTGACTATTTTGGTTAAGAGATTCTGGTTTGTTTAGTCCAAAAGGTAAATTCTAAAGCTCTGCTGTGAATCTATAAGTAGTAGTGAAACAAAACAGTGTCCAATGAGATGGTAATTTAGGAAAGAGATACTACAGTAGAACTGTGGTATCTGCAGGGTATCAGTTTCAAGCCCCCCACCCTGGGTGCTGAAAAATGTGGAAGTATCAAATGCTATACATTACATTGCCTCTGACTCCCTCTAGTGGCCAGTTCTGGTTTAAATATGTGCTTCTGGGGTTTTTTATTTAGTGTTTTCAGGCAGCGGATAAGTGAATCAGTGGATATTGATCCTGCGGATTGGGGGATCCTACTGTGCAATGGATGGCACTTGATTTCATGTTTGGGGTGGTGGATAAGTGGTGTGTGGATATAACATAAAATATGGCAAAGAAACCTAACATCAAACTACATTTTTGTTATTAAGAAAAACGACCTGTACTTGTAAAGGAAATTGCACCTTCTGTTTCCTGAATTTCTGAAGTTTGCCTTTACCTTCTACTGCCCTTTCCCTTTAACAGTCAGATGACGATGTATCATTCATGGGGGATTCGCATGGTGTTTCCATTAATATATACAAAGGTTTTGAATTTTTTTGGTTTTTTTGTTTTGCCACCAATAAAAACTGCTGGCAAAAACAACAGCCATCTCATAGGAATTTCACCAGAAGCCCGTGTGTGTGTGTGGGGGGGGAGTGTTCATTATTTATATGTACTAGGAAGGTACATAGCTGCTTTACAGGATTCCTCGTTCCCTATTTTATGCAAGAAACATCCAGGAAAGGTTGGCCCAATGTAAACTTTGTGACTAAGCAGGATTTGAAGTTAGGACTCCCTGTTCCAAGTTCAATACTAACTACAGTATTAGGGATGAGTCTATTAGGTTTTTGTTGTATGTTTGTTACTCCAAATCCCAAAATTCTCCCAATAATTCTTGGGGGAGGGCTAGTTTCCAGGAGGCACACTCCTATAGCACATAAAGGGCAACGAGGCTACCACCTCCAGGGAACATTGGGGCAAGGAATAAGGCATGGAAGAGGTGTTAGTGTATACACGGTGGTGTCTGCAGGTGTGTGATGATGTTCTGGAACTCCTAAAATTCTGCCTTGGGAATTCTTAGAGAATTCTGGAGACTCAAAATAAAGCAAACAACAACAACAAATGAGAACAGCACGACCCTACTAACTATTAGACTATATTATACTGATATTCCCCAATCCATGGTTATTATACGAATGATAGTGGGATCATAAAGGCTGGAGCATAGTAATGGAAAAACAAAGCAATAATCCTTGTGCTTTATTTATGTAAAATGGAAGAATTCATTTTAATTTGCATAGTTTTCAAATAAGACCACCTAATAAAAAGTTGCATAATGTGCAAATTAGGCAACTTGGAGAGCTGAAATATGGCAACTCTAATATCACTACATATTGCACACATCCAAGGCAAAGTTTAAGCATATTAGGAGGCTGAATTCATCTTTCTTTGTTATTGTATGTTTGTCACTTTTATAAAAAATCTGTTTTTGGCAATAGAAAATCTTTATGGTTCCCAGTTTACAGAGCAGTGAAACAGAGGTTTCATGAACTAGGACCTTTGGATTATTATTCTTTTCATTTTGTTCACCCTTTGATACCTCTGGTTTTGGTTAAAGTGTTCCAAGGTAAGGATAAATTACCTTGGAACACTGATGGACAGAGTATTTTGGTACTTAAGTGCATCTTTACCCTCTCGGCAGCTGCAGCTTTTTTGTTTCCCTCGCCCCCTCCTTCACACACTTTCTTTGTAAAGTGTCCATATGTTCACATTTGCTTTTGGCCTAAAATGAGGTTACTGCCCTTTTTAAAACACAGCTTTAGTGATAAAGTCATTTTAAAAAGAGGGTCCATCTGTCCATTTTTGGCAGTAAAGGTTGAGAATGGATTAGAATGTTTAGGCAATATTGGGCAATGCCCTTTCTACTTGAAATGTCATGCAATAACGCTCTTGATGTCAAGGCAACAATGATTTTGCAAGGAAAGAAGAAAGCGCTGCCCAAGGCTATATGCTCCAGAACATTTGATTAAGCAATAATTGTCTGTTCCTTTGGAGAAAGATGCAAGTGTATTATACCTTTGGATAAATCTTTTTGTTTCTGGAGCATACAGGGAAATATAATAACAATATCAAATATAATAACAAGGTGATCTGTAATACCTCGATTTTGAGGCTCTCGGTTCTTTTTGAGATTGAGCCAAACATGAAAATCAAGTACTTATTTTAAGATATTATTGACGTTAGATATCAGATAGATATTATGTTCTGGAGCTCTTAAAATAGATTTGTCACTTTATAGTAAATCTGTCTTAATTTTTATAATGAAGTAGATTAATTACTGCATCAACTAATGAAAGATAGTTTTTTTTAAAAAAAAAAAAGTACCATGTACTGGTAATGCATTGTGAAAAGCTTTTCAAATATGTTATACTGGTTCGTCACACAAACCCTCTCTTCATTTGCTCATTTCAGGAAGCAGTTTCACAACATCATCCGGAATATATGCTGGAAATAATTCACTTACAAATTCTACTGGATTTAATAGTTCACAGCAGGTAAATACATACATACATACATACAAGCGTGCCAAAGTTGTCCATACATACATACATACATACATAAAATTACAAGCGTGCCAAAGTTGTGTTTTGAAAAATACATTACAAAGCATATGTTTCATTCTAAATTTAAATCTTGAGGTTGTTCAATAATTTCAGAACTGTTTTGAAGTTTGTTTTAGCCACACTGTCGCCGCCTCCTTTTAAGTTATTATCATGACATTCAGATTCATTTTTAATTCAGCAGCAGTCTGTCTAAAATTGGATTTCTTTGTGCAAAACCTGTTCTAAAACTATTAAGATTTTATTGTACATGAAAATGGTTTATACGGACACTTTGAAGATTATACTAAAAAAAGTAGCAAGTTGATGAAAATGTCTAATACAACTTTTTCCCCTGTAAATCTTTATAGGAATACCCATCTTACCCCAGCTTTGGCCAGGGTCAATATGCACAGTATTATAACAGTTCTCCATATCCCTCACATTATATGACAAGCAGCAACACCAGTCCAACCACACCTTCCTCCAATGCAACATACCAGCTTCAAGAACCACCATCTGGCATCACAAGTCAACCAGTTACAGATCCTACAGCAGGTAATTGCTCAGATTTTATTGTCCCTATAGGCCACATTTTTTGGTACTTGAAAGGCATTTTTAAAAGAATCCTGAATTTATGGTACTATTTACACAGTATTGAGAAAGGGTAGGTTTGTGTTAGGGGGATGGGAGGACTGGATAACAGCAGATTTTTTTAAAATGCATGTTTTTGCAATAACTTCCAAATAAAATAATCTGTGAACAGCAGTACTGAAAGTAAAAATACCAATTATAAAATGTATAATAGCTGTATAGAGCTTAAATAAATTACGTTTATTTTTATATTGGTTGCTAAAGAATTGTTTAATTATTTTCCTGAGAGCTACAGTGCAATCCAGAATCAAAGATGTGTGGGCTGTAGTGGGAACAATTGCCCTTGTATTGGCACATCAAATCTCAGGAGCTGAGTAATCCCCAAACTTACAACCACTGTGCCAGCACAAAGTTAAGTAAGGATCAGAGTAGTCCTAAACTATTGCCAACATCCCTTGTCTTGGAAAAGTTGGGATCCATCTTCCACAGCTGGCTTCATGTCAGCTCAGTTTTCAGCCATCTTGTATGTTTAGGATTTCAAATTGTAGGGAACTGGCACATCTGGTAAAAACCAAAAGATACAAAGAGAAACAGTCTCAAGATGTCTGGAATAGGTAACAATATGTGGTGTCTTTATTGCGTGGTAAAAAGCTTAATGTGTTTCGGCAGGGCTTTTATCAGAAGCAAAATCTTTTTATTTCTCCGGTCTGTATCAGCTCTGAAGCTAATGGGGAATCAGAACTGCACTGTAAAGTTTGATAGGGAGTTGAATCTCCCTTCTAGGGTTAGGTGTCTGTCTGCGAAATGTTGAATCTCCCTTCTAGGGTTAGGTGTCTGGCTGTGAAATGAGAGGGTGAGAGTTCAGTTCCCCACTGTGCATCCTGTGAGTAGAGCCAGCCTGTGTGGTCTTGGACAAGATGCCCAGTCCCAGGGCACCCCCGGAAGAAGGGAATGGAAAACCACTTCTGAGTAGTCTCTATCTAGAAAACCCTGGAAAGAGGTCACCATAAGCCAGTAGGCTGCAAAAAACATGCAACAGTATGAACAACATTTAATATCCAGTAGTCAGACAGATGATAGCCAAGATTAAAATGCTGCTGTATATCTGTTCTTATTTTGTCAGCATACCATTTACATCTTCCTGGATGTAAGTGGTATGCTGATAATAAAATGGCAAATACTTTTCTCTCTCTTTCTTCGTGTTCTTGGCAGACTCACACATAAATTTTAAGTGTGCAGAATTCTTCTGAACATTCACCTTAATCCTGTTAATAGTTTCACCAGTTTTATTTCCTCGCCTCAGGTAGAAAGAGAACAGAGCCAGTAGGAACAATGGCAGTCACAGAACATCAGTTATCTCCCCAGCTTAGTCATGGTTACCTCTTGTCTGCTGAGTCATTAAAGTTGGTTGTCAGTCTTACTTTGCTAGAGATGGGGTTCCAAGCTGTTCCCTTCAAAAGGCTCCAGCTCTGGAAAACATAAAACATATTGTAGCTCCTAATTCCGTTTACCTTTTTGTGGTACGTATTTCTAGACAAAGGACATGAATCAGCAACATTCTCAGGCGATCCATCTTTGTGGATGCTTTGTTTTAATTGGCAGAGGGAGAAGGGAGAAGTTGGCTGTTTCCTTGATTCTTTACATTCAGTGCAGTAATGTTTGATTACAGTGTAGTATGATGGAGAGTGTTGTATTTAGATATAATCATATGACACATTTTTTCATTTACAGATAAAAATATAATGTATTGTCTGAGTGAAGTATAATCCTCAGTAGAATCTGTGCCTATTTTGGTCAGCTTGCTTCCATTATATAGTGGCCACGTCTTGCATAACTACTGTTGCTGATGCCTTATAACGGTTCCCAGCAATTAATGTGCCATAAGTCTCCATTGTAGTAGTTGAAGAGTTCATTGCAGAAGAGGGACCCCTGAGTTCTCATCTGCCCTCCAGTCAGCTGTAAGCAAGCACACTGCCAGTGTAATTGTGGTGGTAATATATCTGCTATGATTGCGAAAATTAATTGTTTTTCTGGTTTTACTATGCTTGCTCTTTATTCCAAAGATTGTTAGCCCTCTCCAGAAAAGAGCAGCACACAGAAACAGACCTTGTACATCTTTTCTTTGGACGGTCGCATGGCATGCTTTAGCTGACTTCCCAAATCTACTGAGGGATTTTGTGAAATAAATTTAATAAACTTTTGGAATTACATTCATTTGAATGGTATTAATTAATTAAAGCTACAGTTTGTGCCATCATTTTCAAATACTTCTCAAATACTTCAAATATCAGGTAGCTACATATACTGTATTATGTTTTGTATTAGCAATACCATATTATCTCATATAAACTTATTAAAATAATTCTTCTCCTTAACTTGAGTGATGCCTTTGTAAAAAAAATAAATAAATTGATGAAAAATTTTATCTGTTTTACTCACACTTACACTTAAATCAGTTTATAATTAGCATTAATAACTCTTTGGATTCTACTTATTTTTTTTACTGTATTTATTGATTCTAAGCCGCTACAACATTGCTTTTCACTATTTATTGTTCAACTACCTTCTTATAGCACTCTTGCACTTTATATTTCATCTTTTACCCAAGGACATTTTTAAAGTCTTTAACCTAGTGAAGGGGACATGAATAACATCCAGGTGATCACAGGCAGAGGAATATATGGCACTGGCACTGTAACTATAAAATCTAGAAGAGGGAACAGATGTTTGAAGGCTGTACCCTGTTCTAGCTCTGTTGTCATTTGCCAGGCTTGATGTAACCCACTCAGCCAGCCTTCCACTGTATCCTTGGTGTCCTTTTTAGTACGGACAATCCACGTAGTAAAATAACATATGTCTAGATGTCTAAACAAAAGTGCCTTCTCAGTGCCTGCTCTAAAGCTATGGAATATTTTAGCTTGAGGACTAGATTGCAACTTCAGTGTCGGTATTTGACTGTATGAAATTCAGTCAAAGACCTTGATGTTTAGTTATCCTTTTGTTTTATAAGTGTATTTTAAAAAAAATTCCCTACTGTATCTGCCTGTCATAGTAATGGCCAGAATTGTGTTTTGGATTTATGATAAGGTAAATGCAATGGCATAAATTACAGCAGCTTATTAAGGAGTGTTTGCTCACATTCCTCATTGAACAATTGACATGTGAACAGCACTTTGTTAGTTCTCAACAATTCCCTGTCGCATAAGTACACTTATTCTGGTGTAAATCCCCAGTGTGACTTTAGCCATCATTTGATAATTTTGTTAGCTTTAATTGTTGTTTGCTGACCTGAGTGGTGTGGAGGCAAGAGAAAGAAGGGTTATACGTTCTTGTATACACAAAATAAAATAAACATTACTACTATTATAAGAAATAGTGATACTATTTACCACTTCCTCAGAATGTATTTGCAGAGTTTAGACAAGCTTTCAACAATACATTCGTTTGTCCCCCAAATTTTTCTAGGAGTCTTTGTTCCCAACCTTAAAACTGAAATTGTTTGTGGGTAACTTTTGACCATAGCTTTATCTTTGATCATAGGAGAAAAGAATTGAAGATTAAAAAAAACCAGTAAGATTTAGAAGTACTTATCTTTAGAAGGTTCATGTCCCCTCATTTCTTAGGAGAACTTCCTCCAATCCCCAAATATGTCTTCTTCAGAGAAGGAAGATTTTTGCATCATCCTTAACTATGTGTATTTGACTTGAGATGAACTGTAACTTCTTGACATTAATATATCCTAGCATCTCTAGATGAAGATTGTAATATATTACTACAAGAAAACTTGTAAGTCCTCATGTTGCCATTTCAGTACACTGCACTTGATATAATAAAACTAAAAGTAGTATAAATAAATATGAACAAATTTATCTTCTGCAGCAGAATATAGTACAATCCACAGTCCAGCTACGCCCATTAAAGATTCAGATGCAGACAGGTTACGCCGCAGCTCAGATGGCAAATCACGTGGCCGAGGCAGAAGAAATAATAATCCTTCGCCACCACCTGATTCTGACCTAGAGGTATTCAATGTGAACTAATTGCATGCTTGCATGATTTCATTATTGTCTCCAAAAGCCGAGTGGTTGGGTGGTTTACAGCATAGCCATAGCTTGTAAAAAAAATTCTTGTCCCATGTGTGAGAGGTGCCCTCCTACCAACAAGTGTTCTTGGAGATGAAGAGTAGCACATCATAACTTGCTCAGAAGAGTACCAAATAATAGTTGGTTTGGAAGTATCAAATCATAACTGATATAAAGTGGTATAAAAGTTCTGGTGACATGTACAGTATTTATTAAACTTGAGCAGTTAGCATTGATCTGTTATGAATGCCAAAAACAGAATATGTCAGTGCAGGAAATTTGAAATGTAAAGAAGGATTCAAGAGGCTAGAGTTCTCCATTAAATAGTAGTGTACACTGCTTTTAGCTCAAATATACTAGAAAATCAAATTGATATCCACCTGTACTTCCAAGACCTTCAGATGTGCAGGGTGATAATAGAATAAAATCCTTTTTCTGTACCCATACTCCCTTTTTTGAGTTTTACTTGGACTCCCATTTGTAGTTGTATAATTCACGTAAATCTGGAAGTTGAGTCACGGCAACTGGATTTCTTTCTTATTAGGTTGAAATGTTTTGCTACTCATCCAAGTAGTAGCTTCATGCTGCCCTTTCATCCCTCCCGAGAAAGTTCAGGAGCACACACTAGAAAGACCACAGTTAACGTCTGTTAACAACTCATGATTATGTGTGGAGAAGGATGGCAGAGGTGGGATTTTCACTCACTCCCAGTCCTTTGTCCATCTAAGGAGCCTATTCAGACCAAGGGAAAGTGAAACCAACATGGAGGATATATCAGGGGTCCCCTACCAACTCAGACTGAAGAAGCTACTTGGATGAGTAGCAAAACATTTCAACTTAGTAAAAATGAAGTCCAGTTGCCATAACTCAACTTTCAGATAACCTCACCTGGATGACTGAGAAACTTCACAGATATAATTCACATAAATGTGCTTGTGTTTACTGATACTGCGGTACTACATATATTTGCTTCTTAGCAATTCACATCGAGCTTGGTAGAATTTACTTCTGAGTAAAAATGTATAATATTGTAATATATTATTGTGCTGATGCACAAACATTGACATACTGATTGACATTGTACTGAAATGTATAATTACCTCTAAAATAGTAAGAAAATAAAGCTTTAATGTAATACAACATGCAGAATTATTTCCTTGCACATGTATCAAGAGCTTTTTTGCTCTTTTACTTGACAGCTTCATAGAGGGACCCATTGTTTTGATTATCTTTTTCCAGAGAGTATTCATTTGGGATTTGGATGAAACGATCATCATTTTCCATTCATTACTTACAGGATCCTATGCAAACAGATATGGGAGAGTAAGTACCGTACCACTGTATAATAGTTATTCGTTTGTGTATGCAGAAGAAATCTAGACTGAAGTGTGATATAATTTGGAAGTACATCATAAATTAGAACTGCCTTGTCATATTGTTAGCTTTAAATGTATGCTGCTGCATTTGTATATCTAGTACAGTATGGGGATAGTATTGGTCTGCATGCCACCCTCCTGCCAACAGTCTCCCTTTCTGAGTTCTAGGGCAATTTCTGTTGTGGCATTGGGTTGTCTTGGGCTTATTCCTCTGTGTAAATTGAGTGTTCATGCTAAGGTCACTCAGTCTGGGGTAGCTCAAGATTTCTGCCACTGCACCCATGGATTTGTCCCATTTAGTCACTGACCATGTATATATGGAAGCATATGTTCTGGATTTGTATTCTCTTCTGGTTGTGTTGGCAATCTGAAAATGGAGGAGTTACATGTGACTCCATTGCTATGGGCAATCGCTATCTGTTTAGGTTTAGACTGGAATCTAGACAGACACTCAGTAAGAATGGCAGACCAAGCACATGATGGATCTGAATGGCTTGCTGAATGTGTTGGTGGAGCTTCCTACCTACTCCATTATTGGTTTTCTTGCAGTTGTAACTGATCTGTGAAACACTGAAATAGCCAGGGTAGTTGATACTGTTGCTCCTAAACTCCCTTTCCACACTTGTACAACCAGACCATCTTGGTTTGGCTGAAAGCTTAGGTGAAAACAGGAGGAGGAGTGGCACAAGTATTATTGCAGGACAACTCAGGATGAATCAAAATATAAACTGGCCAACTTATCTCAGAAGATGCACTGCAGTGGTGAGAGCAGTAGGAAAGTTATGCCTCTCACCATTGTATTTGCAGAGAGCATATGCAGTATTTTTCTAAACCTGTGTCAAGGCTGCCTTCACCAAGGCACCAGAGAGTAGGTACATGAATAGTTGGTTCCTTGCTATGAGCTATGTGTTTAGCAGATAAAATCCAATAGATTACCCTTGACTTTAACTCCAATATTGGATCAGATCAAGTTGATGTAACTTCAGCAACACATTGTTCTGTTATCTGGGATTCTGTTGAGGATGTAGACAAAGTCTTTGGAATGGACAGGTCACCATCTGGTTAGCTTTAGACTGACAGCTGGTGAGATCCTTTTCAGGGCTGGCAAACCTTTCCTTTCCTCAGATTTGTAAGAACTGTCACGTGCTTATTTGATCTTGCCCCTTCTATTTAATGAAATCTGTAAAGGCGGAATTAATGTCACAGTTAAGGGAGGTGATAAATGGTTCCTTTAACCTCCTTGTGCTAAGGAACACATTATATACGTCGTCGTTTAGTCGTGTCCGAATCTTTGTGACCCCATGGATCAGAGCACGCCAGGCCCCCCTATCTTCCACTGCCTCCCGGAGTTGTGTCAAATTCATGTTGATTGCTTCGATGACACTGTCCAACCATCGCATCCTCTGTTGTCCCCTTCTCCTCTTGCCTTCACACTTTCCCAACTTCAAGGACTTTTCCAAGGAGTCTTCTCATCTCATGAGATGGCCAAAGTACTGGAGCCTCAGCTTCAGGATCTGTCCTTCCAGTGAGCACTTAGGGTTGATTTCCTTTAGAATTGATAGGTTTGTTCTCCTTGCAGTCCAGGGGACTCTCAAGAGCCTCCTCCAGCACCACAATTCAAAGGCATCAATTCTTCGGTGGTCTGCTTTCTTTATGGTCCAGCTATCACTTCCATACATCACGACAGGAAAAACCATAGCTTTGACTATTCGGACTTTTGTTGGCAAGGTGATGTTTCTGCTTTTTAAGATGCTGTCAAGGTTTGTCATCGCTTTCCTCCCAAGAAGCAGGCATCTTTTAATTTCGTGGCTGCTGTCACCATCCGCCTATGG